CGTTTTTTTTTTTTTAAGCGCTTTGAGCGCGGGTGGGGGGGATAAAGCACGCGCTCATACGGTTTCATAGCACGACACACAAACTCTTCGCCTGCTCCCCGCGTCGTCTGCTCCGATTTCTCGCCGCAGCCGCCTGCTCCGCACGCCTGCGCGTCTTTACTGTGCACCCATTCACTCCGCCAGTGCGTCCCGCAGAATCAGCGCATCCCCCGTCGACGACTCCATACACATTGGCCTCAAGGGCCGCTGCATCCCCAGATTCACCCTGCGACGCACACCGTCCGGCCCGACCTCCCACAGTAGATTGTCGTCGAAGGGGATGCCCGCGTCAACGAGTATGTTGTGCAGAATGCACACGGCGATGAACTGCTGCGGCAACGTGTCCATGTTCATCTTGTGGGAGCGAAGGAACAACCTCCACATCCCCTTCAGTCTCACGAAACCCCTCGCCGTCTTCTGCTTGTTGTTGAAGCGCAACTCCGACGGGTGTTGTGTGAGACCGCCATAGGGGACGACTACCCATTCGGAGGGGGGAAAAACGTTGTCGCCCATCAAATACCGTTCGTCTGCACACCGAAAGGCCGCATGACAGGTGGCCCAGTGAAAAGCTCCCCTGCCTCTGTGTGCGGCCATAAACTCGATAGGTGGACGATCCTCACGTCGTGGCAACTTCCCGGATAACCGACGGACACGTTCAGCACGCGCAAGTTCAGATCGACGACCACCTGCGCCTAGACGGAGAAACGACGTTTTATATCGTAGTAGTCCTCCCCGGGGCAATTGGCTGGCTTGTCGATGAAGATGTGGGTGCACTCGATGCACCCGTCAGTTAGGGAAACCTTTGTCAGCGAAAGCGCGCAAGACAACTGCCTTCTGCAGCCCCGTCGCCCACGATATCTTGTCGGGGTACGCACTGAGCAACGCCTCAGTTACATCCCATACAACCAACCCAGAAGATCTGCCAATGCCAAAGTTGCATGTCCTGCTCTCGTACGTCTCCCTCGACGCCCACCTGTACAAAACGTACGCGGGGCTCCCTATAGAAAGTGACACGCTGTTGAAGGAAGGGTGACAAAGCTTCCCCGATCTCTCAGAACACACGTGGCGACATGCGCAGCTTCTCCTTGAAGTATTCGGACGTCGCGTCGTCGCAATGCCACAGATCCTCCCACGTCCCCCCTATCCGTCGTTTCATCCACCACCTGGGCGTCGCTCTGGGAAAAGCTCCACACCCCATGGCGTAGCACACCTGCAGCACGGCGTCGCAAATGGTAGCAGTGTCGAAGCCGTCCACATTCATGGACTGCAGCGCCCTCTTTCGCCGTGCGCGACTTGCCGCTCTCATCCTCCCCTCGCTCCTCTCCATTTGACACCGGAAGAGGATGGCGTTCACGGTCGCTGCCACCGCCGTCCACTCTGCCGTACTCTGTGTGTCACGGCCCGCCTCCCCATTTTTGTTCATGGTCGAAAATGGTATTATCGACATGGAAGTCGCCAAGTACAGAAGACTCCAGGAACGTCGGGGCACACTATAGTGATGGTGCGAGTGACGACCGGAGTGCACGGTGTAGACGTCGACGATGAAGGTGTGTCTGCGAAGACGACAACGATGGCGATCGTGTGACGGTGTGTCTGCTGCTTCGGATGTGCACATGTACGTTCGGCGTGCCTGCCGACACGCAGTCGCCACCCCGTACCCAAACCGGGCCAAACGCTTCCGCCGAGGAACGTTGCTACCGTCAGCCGCAAGGGACACCCACGCCGCCGTCGTTTGCTTGCCGAATTTTGAATTTCAAAATTCGAATCCGGGACTGCGTGCCTTTTCCAATCCCATGTATTTTTTGAACGTCGCCGACTTTCGAATTCGCGACGCCCACCTCGCTGGACCAACCTCGCCCCCCCCGCCGCGTCCGCTTGTCGACATATGAAACTGACCGCGGAATCCCCCGAGGAATCGTCCTTGGGCAACCATTCCGAGGATGAGTGGAACGACGGTACGAATTTCCTCGGGCGACGATGGGAAAATGTCCTCGGGCCCCGAGGACGACGCGACAAGCATGGGCAATGACCCAAGGGTGAGTAGAAGGTGGGTGAAAATTATCACCAAAAAAATCATTATGATTATCACTCACGTTCGGCTCCAAGAGGAACACTATTTATAAAGAAAAGAAATACCACCCAATGGGAGCCCCCCAAAACACACATATGTCCCTGCGCGTAAATACAAATAACAACACACCGCCTATATCCCGTCGGATCCACGGTGTCCCTTGCATAGGCTTAGGAGTAGTGGTAGGTCCTTTTTTTTTTTTTTTTTTTT